GTCTGCGGAACAACAAACCAGCTCGGCGAGCCAACCAACCTCAACACCCACAAGCCGAGCTACAAATCTACTCCAAAACCTTACATACTGCCAGATTGTTAGCCTAGAGACCAATTATTAGAACAGTAATGAGAATTATGCTATTACATTAACATTTATCTTTAACTTTACTTCTTTATCTTCCCAATTTATACTGTGGATAACCGTAATGTAGAACTTTTAAATTTTTCTCTTTATTTCTCCATTGTTATACCTAATCTATTTTAGTACCTAGGTACTTTGTACCTAAGATGGTGCCTTGTGTGGTGACATTGCACACATTTCACTGTACACATGACAATAAACCCAATTTTAATTCTATTAATAAATGCATCATTGTTACGACTGACCTCCACTACAGAATCAAATGAGAGATTACCAAATTCTTAGTGCTCTCTCAATATATTTACTGTTTCACAAATGTATCCTTGTGGATATTACAGTGTCATCCACCTTTATTCTACACCAGATCAACTACTGAATGCAAATTAAGCAACAACCACAATATTGAAGTGTGCAGCTCATCCAGTGGTACAGAAAGTGCTCAGATCAGAGACTGTACGTTAAGGAAAAATCTCTTTCACTACAAAGATGCTTCCGGGATTTTAAAGAAAAATAGGAACTTAGCTGGGCCAAAGCACGGGGAATAAAGGCTCCCTACATTTCAGAGATATCCCATGTAACAAAGAGCAGCAGCAAAATCCAAGACAAGAGGTTTTGAGCAGAATTTTTCCAAACAGAATTGCAGCACTGCAACAGCCACATAAAATGCTGAGTAGGTTTTGTGTGGTGAAAGGGGTTTATACAGTACTTATTCAAGATTATTATAAACACATTGAAGCTGTCTTTTAAAATGTCCCTCCAGCCACTGTTGCTCCAAACCTCATATCTTTTCAACAACATTGAATAAACATTGATGTACAAGGAAAATAAAAAATCGCCAGCCTGCACCACACAGCAACTTTCACAAATACACAGCATGAACCCAACACTATCCAACAGACATTTAATCTCAATGACACATGATCCTAATGACCTATGTTTTGTGGCTGATTCAGCCATGCCCTAAACAACAGTTAATTCCCGATCTGCAAGACAAGTGGTGCAAAATCAGTGTGAAGAGAAGCCAATAGATTGTGTAACAGTAAGACAAATAGTTCATTATTTTCAGTACTGATCATCATGAACAGATAGTGGCAGAGCAATACGAACAATTGTGTCTTCAAATTACCACTATTCTGTTAACATATCCAATACTGAACTTACAAGATCCTGGGCCTGAAGATATCATCTGACCTCCCCTGGGAAAGTAACTAATGGAAGCAACTAAAAAGACGCTAGAATAGTGACAAGTCTTCAAGGAAACTGAGGCTTCTTTTAGCATCATTAAGACAAATGATCAAAATACACCGACGCTGGGTGCAAAGTTTAAACGCAAGTGTTGGTCTATTTGGGTGAAAGGTTTAAAAATTAACCAGCAGCATAAATAAAAATTGGCTGAGTGATTGGAAACCATGAATAATGGTCAATGAGTATTTTTTGGGCTAGAGTAAGCTTTGGAGTGAAGACCCAGAGATCTGTGTTGGGATTCCAGCTTTTCCTGTTATACAGTAAATCCTTGGTAGCCATGAAATCACAAACCGTGAATTCACGCCAAAAAATTAAGTATGAACAAAATATCACATCCTTGGGCAAAAATTGTGTGCCTGCAATTTTTAACCTACTTTAAAAAATTTACGAGGATAGATTGAAGAGGTTGGTACTACTGTCCTTGGAGAAAAGGTAATTAAGAGATCTTAAGGGGGCTGGATGGTATAGGCACAGAAAACTGTTCCAGCTCATTAAAGGATTAAGAACAAAGGAGCAGAGATTTAAAGTGATTTGAAAAATAGGCATATATGATGAGATTTAAAACAAACTTTTTTTAATACAATGATTGTTATTGATCTGGAATACACTGCCTGGAAGTTTGCTTCAGGCAGGTTCAATTGAGGCCATCAAAACAGGCTTTGGAGATATTTTCTAATCAACTTGTTCAGAGATGTATCTCACACTTCTGGAACAGGTGGGACTTCAACCCAAGCCTCCTGGCTCAGAAGTAGGGAGACAACTACTGCACCCACAAGAGTCCCAAGATGGGTATTAGATGATTATTTGGATATAAATGATGTATAAAGGTATGGGACAAAGGCAAAAGAATGATTTTAAGTCACAAAGCTCATTTGGAGAGCCAGAGACACATGTTAACATAAACAGTTTCCTTTTGTGCTGTAACACACCTGTGATTCTATGAGGTCAACTTTTCCAGAACCATTGTTTTAAACCAGTATGTGCCTCTTGGAGTGTTAATGGAAGTTTATATTATGAGCATTTACAACAGGATAGAAAATATTAGCTTGATTTCAAGTTTAGAATAATCAAAAATTGATTTTGATTAGAAAAACCCAAAGATTTGAAGGCTTTTGAGCAGTTGAAAGTCTGAAGGTAGAAGTCAGTACAGTCTATCCTGGAAGATAAGATTGTTCAAAGCAATGAGGAAATAAGTTCTCTCAGGGAGAGTTTTGTGCACGAAACTTCCAGATCAGGAGTATTTAGTTGGAAATTATCCTCTAACTATTAAAAGACTAAAAAGTCTAAGCTCTCAATTGTGCATGTTGTCAATGAAAAAAGCCGCACAACTTAGGTCTGGATATGAGAAGAAAGTTGACTTAAGACCTACACAAATTTTATAGGGAAAAGAAATTTCTTTGCTTTTTAAGTAACTGTAGAGTGATGGTTTTAGCAAACAGATGTGATTTTGCTTTATGTATTTCACAATCTTCCAAACTGCTATTTAGAGGGAGATTTTATTTCTTTGGCTCAGTAAACTTCTGTACTATTTGTAAAACTAGACCTCCATCCTTGTGTGTTTATACTTCAATGAAAGACAAGTACATTAAATTCAAAACCAATACCATCCAACAAGCCCACTTTCATCCTGGGATCTGATTGGTCAATAGTAGCATCAGCTGGGTTCATAACAGTAAACAGAATGTGGAAAAATGGTGAGAAATTGTTCCTCACCTATAATATCATTAGCAGCAAGTATCAGCAGTAAACCTAGGAAAGAAACAATGTGCACTTGGAGAACCAGCAAGCAGCAACTAAAATCAGTGCTGGCATTGAGGCTGTCACAAGGAGCATACATTTTTCTGGGAACGAGAAGCCAAGATCCAGGGGGCAAGAACAATGTACAGGTGCTGAGACAGATACTGAGTGCTGCCAGTGTTTGGGATTTGGATCTTTTACTGGAGTGCCTTTTGAAAAGGTCAGAAGGGACTTCGGCTGACTCTTGGAGCTCCAAATGATAGGCGGGGTAGGGCGAAGAGGAGAATTCAAAACGTGAGTGGAGAGAAGGAGGCAGCTACAAGAGATTGGAAGGCTATAAGAGAAAGAAACAACAAGTGGGTGGAAAGGGAAGCAGCAGTAGCAGCAAGAGGTGGGTTGAAGGGAAAGATGAGACAGAAAGGGATAGAAGCGATATGAGGAGGTAGCTAGCAGTGGGAGAGAATGGGAGAAAGAAGCTGCAATGGTACAGTTGTAGAGACAGGCTGCTAAGGAGAGGAATCATTTTTAAATCTGACAAAGGAATATTCAGCTAACTGGGATCCAAGGAAACTTCAAACTACTAAAGTAATGAATTCCTTACAAATGGATATGAAATGTCAAGTTTAGGGGTGTTTAGGTTTTTCATGAGCTACTATACTACAGCAACAAACACTGCCAATTTTTAAATATTAAATTTGTTACTGAGATCAGGGATGCACCATGTAGGGTTGTAACTGCCTGGGTAAAACATGGGAGATGAAGCACAAGCTTTTCACGTGTAGAGGTATGTGCCAGCTATTTTGAAAAAGAGCTTTTGTTAACACATGCCTGTTATATCAGTTGTAACTGGAAAAATTGATAAGGGAGAGCCAGTGGATGTGGTTTACTAGGACTTTCAGAAGACTTTCAATAAGAAATTAGCATGTAAAATTAAAGCACATGGGATAGGGGGTAGTGGGCGGATATGAATAGGGAACTGGTTAGTAGACAGGAAACACAAAGTAGGAATAAAACAGGTCTTTTTCTCCAGTGGCAGGCAGTGACTGTTGGGGTAGCAGAGTGATCACTGCTTGGATCCCAGCTTTCACTATACATAGGGAGGATGAGTTGTAAGGAGGATGCAGAGATGCTTCAGCATGGTTTGAACGAGTTGAGTGAATGGGCAAATGCATGGTAGATGAAACGTAATGCAGATAAATGAGAGGTTATCCATTTCGGTAGCAAAAGCAGAGAGGCAGATTATCTGAAGGACAGTAGATTGAGAAAGTAGGGAGGGGGCCCAACAAAAATAAAATGTCCTTGTATACCAGTCATTGAAAGCAAGAATGAAGGTGCAGCAGGCATTGAAGAAAGCAAATGGTATGCTGGCCTTCATATCAAGATGATGCAAATACTGCAACAAAGCTATTATGCTAGGGCCTCAAAACTGTTTAATTTATCTAAAATGATATGGATGAATGGATCGAAGGTAGAGCAGCTAAATTTGATGATGACCAAGATAGGTAGGAAAGGGGTTATGAAGAGGATGTAATCAACCTAAGAAAGGATATTGATAGGTTAAGGTGAATGGGCAAAAATCTGGCAAATGCGAGTACAATGTGAGAAAGGATTAAATTACCCATTTTGGCAGAAAGAATAATTTAGCATATTATCTAAATTGCGAGATGCTGCAGAACTCTAAGATGCAGAGAGAGCTAGGTGTCTAAGTGCATGAATCACCCAAGATTAGTGTTCAAATACAGCAAGCAATCAAGAAAGCTAATAGAATGTTATGGTGTATTACAAGGGGAACTGAATGCAAGCATAGAGTGGTTATGCTTTAGTTATATAGGGTATTGGAGAGACCATCTCTGGAGTACTGCTCACTGTACTTGCAGAAGGATGTTAATGCGTTGGAAGCAATTCAGAGAAGGTTTACTAGACTACTACTTGGAATGAACAAATTGGTTTGAGCATAGAACTCTATCCATTAGAGTGTAGAAAGTCAGAGGTAACTTAATTGAAACATAATATCCTTAGGAGACTTGATCAGATGATGTTGAGAGAATATTTCCTCTTGTAGGAAAGTCTAGAAGTAGAGGTCAGGTTAAAAATAAAGCTACACCCATTTAACGTAGAAATGAAGCAGCACTTTTTTTCTAATCTCCGAAGGTAGAGTGTCTTTGGAATTCCCTTCCTCGAAAGGAAGTGGATATAGAATCCTTAAATATATTTAAGACACGGATATATAGATTCTTGATTACCAAGCGGTTAAAGATTATCAGGGTTATGCAGAAATGCAAAGTTGTGGTTAGTATCAGACTGGATAGGACCTTATTGAATGGCAGAGCAGACTTGAAGGGCTGAGTGGCCTACTCGTGCTCCTTGTTTAAATCTTTGCAATTGTACACGGCCTTGTTAAGTCCAGACCTGGAGTATTGCGTATAGTTTTAGTCTCCTTAACTGAAGATGTATGTTCTGGCTATGGACAGAATGCAACAAAGATTTACCACAATGATTTCTGGGATGGCAGGACAGACGTATGAAAAGAGACTTGAATGGTTTGGACGATATTGATTCAAACTTAGAAAAATGATGGCGATCTCAGAACTCTATAAAATTCTAAATGGATTTAAATTAATTAAATTAACAGCAAGCCATTCACCTCATTATTGTTTGCAGGATTTAGAATAAAATGTCTCCATTATATTCGCGTTAACAGTGGCTGCAATTCATTATGTATTTCTTATGAAAAACTTTGGGACTTATGAGAAATGACAGTACATGAATATTAGACCCTCACTGCCCAAGTCCATTCCCTGCATCAGAATGCGAAAGCTGAGCATCAGCTCTTTACAGTGTTACAGAATTTTACAATTTATGTTGAAATAGAAGTTCCAAATTAATGAAACAATGGACATTCCAACTGCTCCTCCATGTTTCAAATTGCAAATTAATTCCAGCAGCTGACTTAATAAATACACAAACTCTGAACCCTGCAGAGCGTTACATTGCCGATTGTAAAATATCTTGTATTGGCTCTGAACAAGCTGATAAACCGAACAATAGGTGAACTGAAAGGAGCTCTGGACAAGACACACCACAGTATCGTAATGCTCGAGGTTTGAATGAAGCACATCGTGTTTACCCAGGAATTCATTCACAACATTTTAAAACTGCACATCATTGTTGCTTATGCACAAAAGATGACATTCAAAACATCCTCGAAGAAAAGGCTTGAACACAACATGTAAAAAGAAAAGGCAGCTTTTCCCCTTTCTTTGCCCTCACTTTCACTTTCCAGGTTTATCTGCTTAAGAGATCCATTTCCAAATCCTCTGAACATTCAGACTTTAACTTCTGACCAAATATCAGACAGTGCCCCTTGCTTTCAAAAAGCATCATCTTTGCTTTGAATAATGCATCTTTGACATATCCAACCTAAGATTCTTGAATAAGTCGTAACCTCAAAGATTTATGTTCATCAATCCAATCCAATCCTTTCATTCGCTATTCATGCTGTTTATCATAGCAAGACTAAAAGACAAAAACTGTCAAAGACACAAATGACATACTCTGCTGTATATCATTGCTCCATAACCTGTCTTCCAAAAGGGCTGGCCTCATCTGCCTGCTCCACTGAATCTCCTCTACAGTGGACCTCTCCAAGACGCCAAATAGATTCACGTTGTGAATTCTTTCAGCATTCCAAACTGTTGCCTAAAATCTTCCAATTCAGTTCTTGTGTGAACTTTCCTTCTGCCACTCCATCAGTAGAAAAACTTTCAACCATTCTGGCGATATAGTCTGGCATTCTGTCCACAAACAGCTCCACATACCTCACTCACTCCTTTTAAGAGCTTCTTCAAAATTGTGTTAATATTAGTTACCATTCCTAGTTTTCACTACTTCTCTGTATAGGCAATTTCTCAATAAAGCATCTCAGAACATCTTCTCGATGAACGAAATAATTTATATTAGAAAAGGTCAATTATTTTAGGTCTGCTTTTCCATGAGGATTTTCTATTATTTTGAAGGTGGGACTTGGATTTGATTCAGCTCTAATGAAAAGTACCAAAATTTTGAAAGAAATCAAAGATGGGCTTCACTATCTAAAGACATCCCTTGAAAGTGAAAGCACAATCTTGTCCATAATTGCTTACCTATGTTATCCTTTTCCTTACAGGAGATGGAATAGCAACAGATTTCTCGATCTTGGATAGCAGACAGGTTCCTAATACCACGAAATAAAGGGAAAATTAAATATTGCTTTTTTAAAAAATAAATCAATGTACTAACAATGCAACTGGTAATGTCTACATCAAAAATTCAATATGATTGGCTTTATATTACTGATATGCAAATAAATCAATTTAACCTTACCAAAAAGAATTGTAGTTCAACAGGTAAATGACTTTATTTTCACAATAGTTAACTAACAATCTTTTCCAGTCTTTTAGAAAGTATGGCAACAGAAACAAAATTCCTCAAAAAGGTTCCTATAGCTAGATAAATGCAATACTTTATTATTATACTTAGCATTTTAGTTTTAAAATGTAAAGATTTAATGCCAGTTTTATTACCTACATTGTTATGAAATTGCAATGCAGTGATATCCACCTGGGGCATGTTTTGATGAATATTTGTAAGGCTGTTCTTTGTCGGAAAGTCACCTCTAGGTGGAGCAAGGAGCACATTGCTACAGAAACTTTACTTGGTGTGCTGCATCATTGCCAAACAACCAATTCAGCTGTCATTCAATTGGAGGGATAATCCATTAATTCAGCCCTCGTACATTCTATGAAGCAGGTGCTCTGATTTGCAAATGTTTTCAATTTCAAAACTCATGATATGCGCATGATTCCACGAAATGAATTCTCATTAAGGTATTGGGTATTTGAAAGAGGGACATTTTAGTTGTGATTCACTTCAAAATGAAGAAAACACCTCAGCCAGCAACAGTGATTCATGCAGTTTGGTTTATGCACTTTATTTGTATTTGTTGTATTGGCTAATGAAAAATTTCAGATGTGCTTTACAACAAACTATTTAAATAACAGCTTTAACTTGTATAATGTTACAAAGTGCTTCACAGCATTATCAAATAAAATCTTGTGCTGAATCACACAAGGAGATAATGGGGCACATGACCAAAAATCAGGTGAAAAGGTTCAGGGAACATTTTATAGGAGGAACGAGAGGGAGCGACATAATTTCACTTAGAGCTTTAACAGCTGAAAGCACAATCATCAATACTGAAGGAACAAAGTCACGGATGAAAGAGAGACAAGAATGGGTGAGCACAAATATCTAAGAGCTGAAGATGATTACAATGATAAACTTGGGTAGGAGGAAAGAAGTGAAAACACAAATGAAAATTTTAAACCAAGGCATTATTTAACTGGGAGCCAATATGTGATGAATGATAAGCAAATAAGAATGGGTAGGAGTCAGGACACTGGTAGCAAAAATTTGGATGAACTCAAATTAATGGTAGGTGGATGATTGGCTAGCCAGGAGTGAGTTGACACAGTCACGTCTTGTGCTAACAAAGGCATGGAAAGTGTTTCAACAGGCAAATGTGAGGCAGCAATGCAGTCGGACAATGTTAGGAATGCAAACTACTGAGGGATGAGCAATTACAATGGTAAATTAGAAATATCTACTTAACTGTTGACCAGTAAAATGAGAGATTTTTCACTAGACAAATTCACTAAATCTACTTATGGAGAACTCAATTACATTTCATTTCTCTTTAAAACCTGATTTAAAATTCATTGTTCAGTTCTGCAAAACATAAATGTGTCAAATGCTATTGTCTCAAACACCTCACTGGTGTTTTGAGACATACTCTTATGCCAAAATGTTCAATTCATTATTTTGAAATACTGGATTGAACATTCAGTTTATAGGTACCACCAGGAAGCGTCTAACTCCATACTGGGTCTGCATCTGCTATGGTGCATTTCTAATGTCAGAACTATTCAAAAAAAACAGTACACTGTCCTAGAAAATTAAGTGTATCAAAATGTCATCATTTTGGAGGATTGTTCATTTCATAATATTCCTATAGAACGACAGAAAACTGCCAAAAATCAAGCAGTGAAACACTATTTACAAAAATACTAGGTTGTTAACAAACTGCTTTAAAACAAAGGTTGTTCAACTAAGCAGCTCATCAGCAAGATTCGGCAGGTTAACTAATGAGACTAATCTTTGCACAACGAACAGGTCAAGACATCTGCATCCTAGTTGATTGCACAAACTATAGGTTTGGCCAAAATGACTTGGATAACTAGATGTCCTCTTAAAAAAAAATGCACACTGCTTCCAAATGCCTGTTTCACTTACACAGCTGCTTAAAATGGACATTGGATAAGATTCAGTAAAATATTTAACTGTGCATTCATTTATAACCACAAGTTTTGCTTCTCATCTCTGGTTCTTGCAACAATTACCTTAAATCTGTCTCCTCTGTCAAATCCTTCTGTCACTAGAAACAATATATCCTTATTTTGTCTACTAAAGCCCTTTACAATTCTGAACACATCTATTAAATCTCACCTTAATCTTAACAACCTCAAGAGAAAAAACCCAGCTTCTGCACAGTTTTTAAGATGCTATTCTAGTAAATTTCTCTAGAGCCTTAATAAGATTTTGAGCCTGATGCTCAGAATTGCCCACAATAAATCTAGCTGGATCCTAACCTGTCTTTATTGCTTGTGTGTGTTTCATGTATATGCAAATATAGGTAATCAATAATCAAAAACTGCACTCAGAGGAACACCACTGTGTACATGCACCAATTTGAAATATCACTGTTCTGAGCCACTTTGCCAATTTTCCACTCATTACCCCTTTGACAACTGGGTTCCAAAAGCCAAATTAATTCCTTCACCTGAATTTGGTCACTTTGCTTAGTTCAATGCTCACCTAAAATCTAATTTCTTTTCTTGTCCATTTGCAACTTCATTTGCAGGTAACCCCTTTACCTATAACCACTTTCAAATAAATGTGTTAAACTTTTGAAATATAACTGTTTAAAATAAACATTGAGTAAGGTTCATTAAAACCTTCATTTACAGCATATAAATTTGACTCCGTGCTGGGGCTCTTGCTATGTGTGAATATATATTTATGGCTTGGACTAAAATGTAGGTGGTATAGTCAAAACGATTGCTAAAATTGTTATGGCGGTAAATAGTGAGAATAGCCATAAACTGAAGGGGGATACAGTGGACTGGTCAGCAGGACAGAGCAGTGACAAATGAAATTCAACCCAGAAATGAGTGAGGTAATGCACTTGGGAAGGACTAACAAGACAGGGATTGGATGGCAGGATCCTGGAAAGTACTGAAGATCAGAAAAACCTTGGTGTGTATATCCACAAATGCCTCATGGTAGCATGATAGGTAGATAAGGTGATTAAAAAGGCACATGGGTACTTGCCTTTATTAGCTGAGGGAGAGAACACAAGAACAAGGAGGCTATGTTAGAACAGTTTAAAATGCTGGCCATGCCATAGCTGCAGTAATGTGTACAGTTCTGGTCATATTATGTGAAGGATGTGATTACATGAGGCTGCAGAGAAGATTTTTTTAGAATTCTCCCTGTGATGGAGGGTCTGAGCTATGGAGGAAAGATTGGATAGGCTGGGGTTGTTTTCCTCAGAGCAGCAGAAGTCAAGAAGCAGACTGATTAGAGCTCTATAAGAATATGGAGGAATATAGTGTGGATCGGAAGACACATTTGCTATCAGTAAAGAGGTCAATAACCAGAGGGCACTTAAGCACCGAAAACATCTTTGCTGTCCTGCTGCCTAAAGTAGTTAACCACTCTCTTCCAGTCATAACTACCAAACAACTCTAAAATGTCAGCCACCTCCCTCCATCATCTTAATTACTGCCCTAACTCTAACCATATTATTCCCCAAAAGATCCACAGTGAATAGTACTGTATTAGTTCTGTACTCATCTCAAAGGCAATTGGAGAAGAAAGCCTGAGTCCAATTGCCACTCAATCCATTGCACAAATGGGTCAAAGTCACCAACCCCACCTCCCCCAACGATTCAAGTTGTAGCTCATATCCTACTTTTATTGCTGTGGCAAATGGAATTTAGATTCAATAAAACTAGAATTAAAGATTCTCTAATGGTAACCATTTTGGAGGGTCTTGTGGCACAGTGGTAGTGTCCCTACTTCTGAGCTAGAGGGTCTGGGTTTGATCCTATTTATTCCAAAGGCATCTCATAATGTGCTGATTAAAAATCTCTCTCCAAATGTGTCTGTACAACTTCAGTTAACAGAATATCCATCAATATCAAGGCTGAATGAACCAGAACTGGTACTTTATTCCTGCCAACTAGACTTTGATTCTATTGTGTACGTTCAACAGACTAAGATCATTTCCCTCCATATTCACATGATTTGCCTTTGCTCATCCAACTCGAGTGAAATTCTTAACCACTCTTTCAGTAACTTCAGACTTTGCTTCTACCACACTTGCTTCGATGACCTCCCACTTTTATTGTTCAACACAGTAATTCATACAATATTTAGTAGGTAGGAGATGGGGGTGGGGCTTGAGGTGGGAGGAGGGGATACCTACTAGCCTCATCCCACCCCCTTGACCTGTCTGTCCTCCCTGGACTGACCTATCCCCTCCCTAACTCGCCACCTACACTCACCTTTACTGGCTCCATTCCCGCCTCTTTGACCTGTCTCCTCTCCACCTATCTTCTCCCCATCCATCTTCTATCCGCCTCCCCCCCTCTCCCTATTTATTTCAGAACCCCCTTCCCCTCTCCCATTTCTGAATGAGGGTCTAGGCCCGAAGCTTCAGCTTTCCTGCTCCTCTGGTGCTGCTTGGCCTGTTGTGTTCATCCAGCTCTGCACCTTGTTATCTACACTACATTATTATTCTCTAATACAGAATTTAAAATCCTCAACTTAATTTACAGTCCCATTGCAGCCATCTCAGTCAAAATGTGTAAGTTCCTCCAGTCTGACATCCAAGCTTGTACCCATAAGGGTTTTATGGCCTCCAGTACATTCCTATCTTCTCTATCACAAGTGGCAGTCATCAGCTACAGTAGACTTGCTATCTAGGGTCACTCCACACCTCCTCTGCCTTTAAAAGCTTAAGATCAACCCTGTTGACTTTCTGCCATGTGACAATATAGCTACTGCTGTTCAACATCTATTTGCACGTGCTCAGTACTTTGGGATATATTTTACGTTTAACACACGAATTGCAAGTACAATCATTAGCTATTTTCTTTGAAAGTTAATGAGATGAATTGCAAATGGAGACTGACACCATAAAAGCATGCCACTCACATTCTTTCAATCAGTTCTTTTTCATCCAATGCCTCAGGTAGGTCTCGCTTATTCCCAAGAACGAGCACCTAAAGAGAGATTTGCCAGATTATTCAACAAGTCGTGCCTTGTGAATATTTACATCAGTGAAATTTTATAAAGAGTTCATATTGAATGCAAAGACTCTCCCTGAGGCTAAAAGTAGTGAAACTAATAAAAACTTGCCTCTAAATAAACACCCTACTGATCCTCAGCATTGCTAAAATGGATCATTTAAAGTACGTGGCAGTGAAGTTTCTTTTTCATTTAAAATAGAAATTTTGAATTTATTATTATAAGTACTTGGAGGCAAATACAAAAGAAAAATGTACATTTTAAATTTAGGCATTTCCTTCAGTCAGGGAACAGTGGGGACCAAGGCAATGCAGAGGGAGTGAAAATGCAGCCAGGGAACAGCAGCTGCTGTGCCATGAATCAACTCAAGATGTGACAAAGAAAAACAGATAAATGATTGGCTGAGATGAAAAGAAAAGAGTAGAGAGAGCGCGAGAGAGATGGAGCTGGGCAAGGCAGAGCAGCTTCAGAATTGGGAGCAGTGATGAGAGAGGCTGAGACAGTCATTTACAACAGCAGGGAGGGGAGGCGAGGCCAGACACCAAATCTCCACATCAAAAATTAAAAGCGCATAGGGCAGAGAAGCAAAGTTAACATAGGGGAAGGATCTGAATAGGCATTTGTGAAGCATGCAGCCTATTGCGGCAGCAGGTTCTTTGCTGATATGACAGAGCTGATTGATACACTTTTGTCATTTTGACAGCAACTCACAAGACAGACAGACCGTGGACTCCAAGATTTTGTTTTGGGGGTGGTGGTGAGGAAGGAGATAAGCATAGTTAGGACAACATATGACCATTTGACTGCACAGCAGACTCTGGTTGCCAATCATCTTAGTTATCAATGCCATTGGACAAAGACCTTGCACCTCCAAGACACTGTGGTAAGTCAGAGCATCTCATTCAACACACGTTAAAAAGAACCCACACAGAGGCAAATTTCACCCCCTAGAAACTTCTGAGCCAGCCCTATAAATCTGTAGCTACGAGAGAAGGTCAGAGATTAGGAACTCTCTAGAGAGTAACAACTCCAGACTCTACAAAGTCTGCCTGCTGCTGACAAAGCTCAGAAGCCAAAACAGCCTACTTACCTTATATAAATGATTTGGATGCGAATGTACTATGGTTAGTACATTTGCAGATGGCACCAAAATAGGTGGTGTAGTGGAGAGTTAAGATGATCCCAGTGTACAATGGGACCTTGATCAGATGGGCCAGTGGGGCAAGGAGTGGCAGATGGAGTTTAATTTGGATAAATGTTTGGTAAGGCAAATCAGGGCAGGATGTGTACACTTGATAGTATCCTGGGGAGTGTTGCCAAACAAAGAGGCCTAGATGCGCAGGTGCATTGTTCCTTGAAAGTAGTCGCAGATAGAGAGGGTGGTGAAGACAACATTTGGCACGCTTGCCTTCAGTGGTCAGTGCATTGAGTATAAGAGTTGGGATGTCATGTTGCAGCTACAGAGGATATTGATAAGGCTACTTTTGGAATAATGCATGCAATCCTGGTCGCCCTTCTATAGGGAGGATGTTGTCAAACTTCAGTGCACAGAAAAGATTTACATGACTGTTGATGGGACTGGAGGGTTTGAGCTATACAAAGATGCTGAGGGGTGACCTTATAGAAGTTTATAAATCATGAGGGGCGTGAATAGGTTGAATAGACAAAGGTCTTTTTCCTGGGGTGGGGGAGTCCAAAACTACAAGGTGTAGGGTTAGTGTGAGAAGGGAAAGATTTTAAAAAAAGGACCTGAGGAGTAATTTTTTCCACGCAAAAGGTGGTGAGGGTATGGAATGAGCTGCCAGAGGAAGTGGTGGAGGCAGGTGCAATTACAACATTTAAAATGCATTTGGATGGGTATATGAACAGCAAGAGTTTTACAGGGATATGGGCCAAATGGGACTAGGTCAGATTGGGATGTCTAGTAGGCACAGATGAGTTGGACTGAATGATGTGACTGTATGACTCTATGACTGGGACATCATCTAACAGCTTCGGCATGCACTTCCATCACCACCATACACACAGTGCAGCAGTGTATACCAGTTACACAATGAAAGCAACAACTTATTGATTCCTTCAATAGCACCTTCTAAACACACAACCTTGAGGATCTAAAGGCCAAGGACAGCAGTTGGATGGGAGCACCACCACCTGCAAGTTCTCCTCCAAACTACATACCATTCTGACTTGGAATTATATTGGCATTTCTTCACTGTCACTGGATCTGTATCCTGGAGCAACTTCCCAACAGTACTACATGTACTGCAGCAGTTCAAGATGGTGGCTCACAAGGGCAATTGGGGATGCAAAATAAATGCTGGCCTCGTCTACCCACATTGCCTAAATATGTCTTTTTTTTTAAACCAATTAAATGTTATTGTTTTCATACATGACTTAAATGATCAAACATGAACACATTTAAAGCAGTGAGCAAACAACATTTTTGGATTTTAATGACTGCAACATAATAATTGAATAATTATTTCATCTTGCATCAATCATTTAAATGTTGTAAAGCAGCAAAATCAGCAAATAAAATGAGAACAATTATTTGCATGCAAAATTAATACCAGATAACTATTGATAGGATATATTATTTTCCTCAACAAAGTTTGCACAAACTGAGGTTTCACTTTTTAGATATGCGTCCCTTTAATCTGGAATTTTTAAACATTAACACATGGTTTCTAAGCTTTAGCCACATACACAGAAGCTTGAATCAGATATAGAAAGTTCTACAAGTCTATCACCACTGACATGCTTTCATTCATCATGAAAGCAGTACAAAATAGAAGCATGTGCCTATTAACATAAATGGTATACTGTCCTTAACAGTATGAAAAGGAAACATTTAGTCTCAGTCATAATACCAGAAATAATTTATTGAGACCATGTCACTACTTCTTAGAAAGCCATGTAAAGAGAATCAGACAATATAGCCTAGATTTAATCTAACTGTTTAAGTCCATCTTCTTAAATATGCTCTTCCATTGTCAAAACAGGTCCATAATGTTCCTTAGTCATTATGCTTTTTTGAGCGTAAGTAAGCAAACTTTAAAATGGATTTAAAGAAGGAAAGACACAAAAAATGCTAGAAATCTGCAGTCTAAAACAGAAAATGTTCAGCATAAAGGAAAGACAAAGATATAAGAGCGTAAATTTAATATCAAGGTCACCGCAACTCTTTCTTCATAGATGCTACATGACCTGTTGAGTATTTCAACCACTTTCTGTTTAAATTTAAACAGATCTTCAACTTGTATCATGTACACATTTTTGCAATTTGACACTTTTCTGAAGTTGAGCTTGTTCAATACTTTTGTATGACGAGAAAGGCCAAGTGCACAAGTCAAAAAGGTACATAATTTTAGCATTTCACACTAACTACACATCTGCTTATTGGATGTCAATCAGATCAACATTGTAACTAAAACGATCTCTTTACTCAAAAGGAAAACTTTAAAAATAGTTCAATTCTAATAATGTGAATGCTGACAACAATAATTCATCATTGTATTCAGTGAATTGACTCTTCTGAGTATTGCTGTAGAATAATAGTCATGAGAATAGCATGTTTCTAGTGCATTATATTGATCTGAAAACTCAAATTGCCTCAAATTCATACTTTTAACCATTTCATTAGAGCCTTACTGTCAAACCCGCATTCTATTCAATAACTAAGATAGCTTCTCTTTACAGATAAAAGATAAACCAGAAGCAACACCAGTACCATTGCCTTTCAGTATGTAAGAAATTTAAGAGGACAAGATGATATTATTCCACCAAAAACTAAGTATTAGCTGCCTGCATACACAACACCAAGTCTTTTGTCTAAATACCAGAGACTAGAAATTTGTTGTAAACATTACATTTGAAAATATTTACATCAGAATCTTCATTGGCACAATGCAAATTCTGTATCATCACAATGGTAGAACCTCATCATCAAAATCAGAATGATAAAATAAATTCTAGAAGCATTTGCTTTCAATTCTAAGACTTTGTTTTGGTAAATATTCAGAATACCTAAGTTTGATTCATTATAAATGGAAAAAGAATCAATATACCGGGATGCCCTGCAGCTGTGGTTTCTCTAATAAATTATGCAGTTCATTCTTTGAAGCTTCTGTCTTCTCATGGTCTGCAGCATCCACCATGTAGCTGAAAAATGCACAAATGTGAAACTTATGAAAAATTCTGTTTGGAAGCCACAGCAGCTAATGTGTAGCTAATCAATAAACGTTAAGTTCTCTTTATAATTTGTGCTCAGGCAGATTTCACAATCAGTACAACTGGTTTTGGCGCCCTAGCTTAGGGATGGAATCAATTCACTTGTCAATTGCTAGTCAATCTTGGTTCAATGAAAACATGTGGATATTAAATAAGCACAGGGTTGGGTTTGATTTTAATGTCCATCTCGATACTCACCAAAGATCATTTCACTTAACACAATTAATAGACATGATCTGATGCCCACAGGAACACAAGCAAGACAATGCTTTTGGAATAGAAGAGGATGAAAGGAAAGTGAAGAAAATTGTTTTAAAAGGACAAGATATAGAAAGAAATGGTCAAAGAAATGCGAGACAGCTAACATCTAACCAGAAAGACAGAGAAGATGACCTCATTAGGCACTTTCATTGTGATATCACCAAATAATTTAAGATAGAACAGGGCTGTCAAATGATATAGGTACTGTAATTAATTTTCCCCAACAATCAAACAATTTAAGTACTTACACAATTGCACTGACTCCTCTGCAGTAACGTTCCCACATGCTTCTAAATCGAGGCTGTCCGCCAATGTCCCAGAGCTAAAATTAAGGGAGGCAATTAATACAAAATATTCTTTGAACAAATATAGTCCAAGTTTGAATCTGCTCAGCTTGTTTCCTGCCATACCTTCTTTGGCAGTCACAGATCTGCCCTTACTGACAATCACGCAACAAGTTGACAAGTGATTTTCTTCTTCTCTCACAGACGTTTTACTGCAAAATGTTATAACTTGCATCACAAAGATCAAAGAAAACTATTTGCACAGAGGTTACCCAACACTGAAGACCCAAGTATTTTAAATTGGATCTTTAATGGCCATTTGATTTGCAAAGCAATCACAGTATAAATCACGATTAAGTTATCATGTCTTTGTAATTTGAAATCCTACAAGGCTCGAATTCATAAGGACCCAAAGTGTGCCAGTCAATAGAAATCACTAATTCTTTGACTGGAGGAAAATATTCATAAGCAGGCTGCATGAGACAACCTTGAACTAACAATCATAATGCAAAGTGAAACAAAAATTAGTTTCGTTGTTGACACTTAGTAACAAGATCCTGTTTATGGAGGTGATGCTGTAGAAAATGGGAGGATATTCTATTTACTTGAAAGAAAAGAATGGCTGATTGCAATCTTTACCACCCTCATCTCCCCAGTAGAGTACATGCAGGCATATTATTGGTCAACATTAATGGAAGATCAGTCATATCAAAATTTACCAAAGATTTTATTAAAGAAAAAATTTTAGAAAGTTATAATGAGATATCTTTACAAACATCTGAACTGTTGAAAAAGGATACTTCGACAAAGGTTTTTGCTTTATGCTCACTAATTTCATCAATTTGCAAGATTACCAATTCAAGGGGGAAAAAACATCTACATTACATGAGAGGACTGCATGTGACTGGTTGGCAAGGAGACAAATTGGCAGGGGTTGTTGCCATGGAGAACATACCCATTAATGCTGGTTGACAGTTAATGGCTAGCTTTACTTAAATTTAAAAACAAACAGTGTCCAATAGTAGAGACTGTAGGTACTGCCGATACTAT